GGTTCTGCTCTGAGGGGCGGGCAGGGTGTGTGTGTGTGCGTGTGTGTTGGGGGTGGGGTGGGAGAGGAAGCCCCTCATGATCTCCTGCTCCCAGACCCCAGGGCATGTGTCTCCTGGGTCGCTATGAGTGAGCTCCAGCTCTGGGATGGAGGCAGGCCACCAGGAAAGGGGGGAGTGGTTCTTCCTGCCCCCCATAAACTATAAACACCCACATCCTTCAATCCTGTCTGGAAACACTCTAAGCTGGCCTCTGCTGTACCCCTACATCCCTGCTCTGACCCCAAACTGCCGTAGTCACTGTCCCACAACCTCCCACACGGATCCCCACCTCTGCCGCCAGCCCATAGTCTGGTCCTGGGCCCCTGCTCCCCTACCCCTGTGGCCCCAATCCTGCCTTTTCCCCTTATTCTTTCACCCACACTTTCCCACGTCCCTAACCTAACATTGGGGCCCCTGCAACCTATGGGGGATGGTGACAGTGCATCAGGCACCCAAGACACAATGCCTCCTCCAGGCCCCACAGGCAGGGTGGCGGGTGAGTTGGGGTTGGCCTGGTGTGCAAGCCAAGGCTGGGTGAGAAGGGGCTGCGCCCTCATTTGCTGCCCCTCTTGCTGTGTTTCAGAGTGGACAAGTCCTTCATCCCTCGCCGGAGTGTGTGGTGAGTACTGGGAGCTCTCAGGAGGGGCTGGGCTGCTTGGCTGAACCTTGGGGACACCCCCAAACCATTTCCACTCCCTATAATGACAGACCAGACCCCACCAACCCCGCAGCTGCCCTCTCCCAGGGATGGAATGGACAGACCCTCTTACCGGTTCTTCCCCCACCTGTTTTCCCCTATAATTCTTTCTAGAGCTCCAACTTTGAGTCCAGCAAATCAGGTTAAGTCTTAGTTCTGTGTGACCTCAGTGATTCACTAACCTCTCTGACCCTCAGTGTTCTCACCTGTGAAATGGGGATTAAAATGCCCACTTAACAGAGTGTAAAATTGTAAAAAACAAACAAACACCTAAAAAAAAAAATAAAGCCTGACATACCGTAGGCCCTCACCGAAAGTGCTTTCTTTCTTCTCTTCTCTATTCCTTTCCACCTCATGACTCCTGGGTGGTTGTGGGTGCCCTTAGCCCCACATCCTCTAGTTCCACCCCATACATAGCCTTCAGAACCCCCTGCTGCAGCCCATTGCCCAAATCTGAGGCTGCCCTCTCTTTGGAGGAAGAGGGGGCAGCTGTGTCTGCAGCTTCTCCAGCAGTGAGAGCAGCGGGCAGAGGTGCAACCTCACCTCGGGATTCACAGCACCCCCGATGCCCAGCAGGCGGGTGCCTCCCAGCTTCCCTGGCACCAGCATCACATGGGCCCAGCTGGCTTCTCCTGCTACCACTTCAACTCCAGCGGGAGAGTTCGTGCTTCCTGCCCCTGCTGGGGGCTTCCCGGGGTCCCCAGGCCCAGCAGTGTGCCCCCCCCAGCTACTAGATGACTCCTGTCTGGCACCGTTGCCCCACCTGCTGCAAAGTCCCCCCAGGAAGCCACACCTGGGGTGGGAGGCACACAGGTGCCCAGCTGAGCTCCAGGGCCTGCCCTTTTATCTTCCTTTAATGCTCGCTGTGCAACCTAGGGCCAGTCACTCCCCCTCTCTGGGCTTTATCTCCTGCTGCTGTGCCCAGTCAATTTGAGCCTCCACTAGTGCAAGACCATATGCTAAGCCCAGAGCAGGGACAGGGTGAGGAGACGTACAGATAAAGTGAGGAAGATACCATCCTTTTCTTCAAGGACTTCATTAATAATATCCTAGCAACTGCCGCTTGTCAAGCACCTGTAGCATACCAGGTACCGTTAGGTGCTTGAACTGTATCACCTCACAGCATCTTTACCACATCCCTGAGTTAGGGACTGTTATCTCTACAGATGAGAACGGTGATGCACAGAGTGGGGGAAGTGACTTGCCCAAGGTCACACAGCTATTCAGGGGCAGAGCTGGGATTTGAGTCTTCATCTCCCAGACACTGCAGAGCCCAGAATCTCATGCCCTCTGTCCCAGGGCCTCCAGACCACACAGTGGGTCTGAGCACTTGAGGGAGGACTTGAAGATGGAGAGGCGACCCGGAACACCTACTCTAGGGAGCCCTGAATGAAGCGTCAGAGATAAGGGCCCAGGACTGATGGTAACTGACTAGCTCTGTGACTTTGGGCAAATCCCTTCCCCTCTGTGGGCCACAGTTGACAAACTTCTGAAATAGGATTTTGGAATCACCAGGATTTGGCCATTGCCCGCAGTGCCTTGCCCTACACCTTCCTCCTTGGAGATGCTGTCCAAGGTGCTAACCCCTAAGGCCCTCCCTTCTAAGCCAATTGCTTAGCTCCCAGCCTGTGCCTGGCGTTTAGTTACAGCTCTGTAAATGGGGGTCATTTTGATTAGGAATTATGACTTCCTAGCCTGTGATTCAAGACCTATATCCACCTCCCCTTTCCAGTCACTTCTCTTGTGACCTTCATTTCTGATCAGTGGGAACATGGCCCCTGAGAGCACCACCTCTGTACCTTTGCTCACATTTTCCCATCCCCTTGGCATGTCCTCCCCTCCCATTTCCACATGCCCTCACCACAAGCCCTCCACCAAGCCCTTACCATTTCCACAAGCCTTCACCACACCTCCAGCCTAACTTTAGCACTGTGCATTGTGTGTTTTCTTTCCCGATCCCCACGCGCTTTCTCTCCTTAAAATACCTCCCTCTGCGTATCATGCCTGTAGAGCCCACATTAGTGCTCATTTCTGGGGTAGCGGAAAGAGCATGGCCTTCAGAGTCTGACAGATGTGAACTTGAATCTGCCTCTGCCACATGTTAGTGGTGTGACTTTGGGCAGGTCTCTTCCCCTCTCTGAGCCCCACTTGCTGCTCAGTAAGTGTGAAACTGGATCTCTCAGTGAGTTGAATGTGTCCATATAATGCTGTGGTACGAGGCAGGCTCTGAGGTCCTTGAATGCAGGGGTTCCTTAAGTTACTTTTGACGTAGGCCCATTTTCTAGCACGAGTCACCAAAAAGCTGGGCTCTCTTCTTCTCATCTGTGTCCTCCACACAGTCTTATACAGCTGCCTGAACCCAGGAAATGCTTTAATAAATGTCTGTGGAGTTGAATTAAATGTGTCAGAGTGGAAGAGTTGGAACTTTGTCAGGTAGGCTGGGAGAGCTTCCTGGAGGAGATGTGGTTTCCTCCACCCCTTGTAAAAAAAGGATTAAGGAGTTGGGGCTTAGATCAGGGAGCAGCGAGGCCTGGTATAGGTCAGATGTGATCCTGGCTGGATTCCCCTGCCCCCTGCCCCTCAGCAGCAGGTTATCTGCAGCGGAGAAACTCAGAACAAGTATGAAAAAAGGATGAAGCCCAGTGGCAGGATTAGGAGCCATTGGGACAGGGGGTGACTCTGGTTCTGCAGACCTAACGGGGATTGGACATTCAAGATGGATTCAAATGGTGGGGCAAGGAAGGAGGTGGAGCAGTGTCAGGGCAGGGGGATGGCTAGATAGACTTGTGCAAGGGAGGGGTTCTGGAAGAGGACCTTAAGGCTGGGAGCCTGGGGCGGGGGGCAGGACCCAGCAAGGATTAAGTGCCAGTGGCATGTCAGGCACTGTCTCAGGTGGTCTCAGTTGTGATGACAGTCTTGCAGGTTGGCCTTTAGTGTCCCCATTTTGGAGGCCAAAACCAAGACTGAGAACTGGCAAGGGCTGGGTTCGAATCCACCTTTTCTCCTGCCAAGGAAGGGGCCTTGGCCAGACGAAGGAGCCACAGAAATGAGGGAAGTTCTGATTACAGGGTGAGGGAGGAGAGGAGAATGAGATGACCCTGAGCACCCCCAAAACAGGAGTCACCGCCCAGCCCCATGTGTCCCACCGGGAGAGCCCATCTGGTTGCCCACATATCTCCCATTGACAGTAATGGTACCAGTTGTTCCCATATATGATGCTTTCCTGGGTCTCAGACCCTGGGCCAAGCACTTCAGCTGAATTATTTCATTCCATCCTTGTACTGGCTTTACACAGCGGAGACTATGAGAGACTATTACCATCTATTCCCCATTTTACAGATGAGGAACCTGAAGTTCAGGGAGGGGAGGGGGCTGGCCCAGGGGCACATACTGAGTGATGAACCAAGACTGGCAGTGTGGTCAGCCTGAGCCCGTACCTTTAGCCCATGCTCTCCTGGATGCTGCGTGTGCTGAGTGCGGGGCTGGGGTGGGTGGCCCCTGTCCTCAGGTGGCTCCTCTCTGTAATCACTGAGCTGGAAGCCCTGGGGGCCTGTGTGCTGCTGCAGGAAGCATGAGGCTGGCCTCATTAGTGCCTCTGAAATGCCAGGCAGGCACAGCCCGCTGGGCCTCCTCATCTATTATGCATCTGGTGGGCAGGCCCCCGGCGGGCAGCTGGCGGAGCACAGGACGGGGGAGCCAGCAGCTGCTTCCTGAGCCCACACCTGCCACCATACCTCTGGGCAGGGATTCCCCCCAAGGCATGCCAAGGCAGTTCCTGCCTCATCCCCCCTGGCCCAGCTTGGGGAAGGGAGTCCCACTGTGGACAGAGGCATGGATGTTGATCCCCCACTCATTAGCCTGCCCATCCCAGCAGCCACTTCTGAGAGAGGCTGGGACCTTGACTGTGCTGGGAGTCACTTGGGGCTAGGGTGGGCAGAGGTAGGCTGAAACAGAATCTTGGGTGCACAGGCTCCTGGCTGCACAAAACCTCAGAGCGATAAAGTTGTGCTCATTTATTCAAATTCAGCCACAAGGAACGAGTGAGCAACTACTGTATGCCAGGCACATTTCTAGGGACTGCAGAAAATGAGACAGGCCCAGTCCTGGTCTTCAGAGAGCTTGGTTCAGCCAGAACTTCACCTCTTGGAGCCTCAATTTCCTCATCCATAAAATGGGGACTAGAGGAGAAAGTCTATAAATAGACAAGAAACGAACTGCAATGGTTGTGCTGAATTTTAAGGATTTTATATTTAAGCAGTCTCTACACCCAACGTGGGGCTCGAACCCACAACCCTGAGATCAAGAGTCGCATGCCCACCAACTGAGCCAGCCAGGTGTCCTGGCTATGCTGAATTTTAAAGCAAGGGTTCCTGCTACCAAGAGCTGATCCTTACCCAGATCTTCACTGGGTGAGGGGTTGTATTCCAAAACACTTTCCATAGATTGGTGGATTTAATCCTCACAACCGTCCCATGAGGCAGCTACTGTTATTACCCCCGGTTTAGGGCCGAGGAAACTGAAGCAGTAGAGGGGTTAAGTAGCATGTTCAAGGTCTCTTGGCAAGACTGAGATTTGAACCTAAGCAGCCGGGCTCCAGTTTGCATATCACCCTGTGCTGTACGGCTGGAGGATGATCCAGGGAGGCGTGGAAGGCCTTCCTCGGGGCGGGGAGGTGGGTAGCATTTGAACCAAAACCTGAAGAATAAGAGGAGCTGGATGTGGGAAGAGTTAACCGGGGGAAGGAGGCATTCTTGACAGCGGGAACAGCAGGTGCAAAGGCCCTAAGGCAGGAACAAGCTTAGGGTGTCTTGGAAACAGGGAGGAAGCCAGTATGGCTGGAAGGAAGAGGGAAAATGAGGTCAGGGATGGGTTTGGAGAGAGAGGAGGAGGTAGATCGAGCAGGTCCTCCTAGAAGTTTGGATATAATGTCAGTGACTGACATGTACAACGATTGAGTCTCAGATTCCTGGCTTTGTAAAATCTTAGAATCAGAGAATTTGGGCCTCCTGGAATATTTGGAGATGGAAGAGACCTTTGAAATACCCTCCTATGACCTCCCACTTAACAAGAAGCCCTTGCTTTGGTTCATGACCCCTTTGAGTATTAGAATGAGGCTTTGGGGGTCTCCTGAGAAAAAGGCACTTTTATTTTTCAAGACCTCCTGAAGCCCACCATCCCTCATTGAGACGATGGATGACCTCTGAGCAGCTCCTTGACTAGCCCTTCCTTGTTCACTCCTAGTGACAGGAGGCTCACTACCCTCGAAGTAGCCCATTCCGTTGCTGGATATCAAAAATTCTTCCGTACTTACAACCAGTTGCCTGAGCCTAGATGTAGCCTCTGGGACCTCCCATTGCCCACAGTGGCCCTTTAATGAGTTAAGGATGGGGTTCATATCTCTCCAAGTCTGTTGATTCTGGACTCAACAGCTACTTGTCCCAGCCCTTTCTCATTTCCATCCTCTGTTCATCTCAACTCTTGCAGGCCTTGAAGCCCTTTATCGTCCTCTGGGGCCAGGCGATGCCACCTTCTAGAGAAGGCCATTTCCTTCCTGGGATGGGGGGAACTCCTAGGAGCGAGTCCAGACCGGAGAGACCCCCTCTTCCAAGAAAGAGCCCCTCTAGCTTAGGAGACAGGAGAAGATCCCCTCCAGATGGGTTTTGGTCCAGGGACTCCTGCTGTTTTTCTGTGTGATCTTGGGCAGTGAGTCCCCATCTCAGGCTAGTTTCCCCATGCCTACCTTGGGCACAGTGAAGAGACAGAGGAAGGCCATAAGGGCTCTTGCAAGTCTAAGGTTCTCAGTCTGGTGGGCCCTGCTCACCTCTACATCCCAGCAATGCTCAGCCTCAGGTCCCTGTGTAGTGTAGGTGGTGCATGGGAAAGTTTGGGTTCTGTTTTTAGGCAGCCCCGAGGTCAGATTCCAACTTCAGTTTTTCTTACTTGCTGTGTGGCCTTGCAGACACCAGTCTGCCTCTCTGAATCTCAGATTGTCCATAACAGTGAGAACTGTCTTGCTTACCCCACAGGAGTCTTAGAATGAAATAAGTCCAGTGTGTATACCCAGTGGATGTTTTCCCTCTTGCTGGGCATTTGCATTTTGAGAGAGAAGCCTCATTACACCAAAGAGAGACTCATTAAGATTTTAGTACTAGAATTTGAGGCACTATTGAGGTGGTTTGGTTGAGAAGCAGTGGTTGTAAAGGAGACTTTTCTAATATTCCCAAGTCCCCTAAAGGCTTTCCTCTGCTCAGGGTCTCCCCCAAGGCAGTCATTCATTCATTCATTCATTCAGCAAATTAATTCAACAAATATTTAGTGTGGGGATGCCCTCTGAGGGCCAACCAGACACTGGGGAATGTGGTATCGGAGATGTCAGGCAAGGCCACTCCCTTTATAGAGTTCCCAGTCCAGAGCAGGAAATGAGGAAAGAGGTGGTTCTCCTGGGGGTGATAAGCGTTGATTGGGAAGATATGGGGAGTTCTGAGAAGGACTCCTCCCCCACACCTAGGAATCAGGGGAGGCGTCCTGGAGGAAGTGGCCCAGCAGCACTGTGGAGGGAGAAAAGCATGTGATGGCATGCGCCGGACACAGGACAGAGCTGGACCTGGCAGCTGAAGGTGGGAGGGGTAGCCATCAGGAGGGACTTCTTGTGGGTACTCCAGAGGGTCTGAACCCCCAAGCCACCACTGGATAGATTCCTGCCAGGGCTCCCATCACCCATTCGTCTTCCTGCTCCTGGAACATGCTGTGCTGCATGCAGTGTAGGCTCACTTCTCTGGGGCTCATTTTTTTCACTTGTAAAATGAACAAAAGCACCTCCTTCAAAGATTATTGTGGGGATGAAATGAGATCATGTGTGCCAAGGTGGAAAGCCAGGGCCTGGCCTGGAGCGATGTCAGCGATCGTGGTGACTGCCATGTCATCCTTATGTGCTGGGCCCTGCAGAGGGGGCAAATTGTGTGAACTCCGCCCTCTGGAAGCTCACCAGCTGCCGGGGGGGGGGAGAGCTGCATACACAGGAGCATGCTCTCCGGCCATGGGCGTCAACCCGAACTGGCCCTAAGCGCATTGGCTGATGCAGCCAGACAGGCCTGCCCTGAGTCCAGGCTGGGTGACCATGTACAGTGCCTGCCCCCACTGATCCGTGGTTTCTTCCTTTGTTCAGTGGGGCTGTTCATAGTCCCTACCTCAGCGACAGTGAGAACAATGACAAGGTACTTTGGAAGGGCTGGCCAGGCCGTCTGCTTCAAGCTGCATGCTTTAGGGGGGATGAAACATTCTGGGCCCAGGTAACCTGGAGAAACATAGCCCTCATTCTCTGAGGCTTGTTTTCCTGCCTATAAAATGGGAAGATGGGCTACAAAAACACTCTGATGTGCCGGGTTTCTAGCAGAGTCAGATAGTTCCTAGCCTTGACCGTGTCTGACTGTCTTGCTGTGTGATCTTGGACTAGAGACTTAACCTCTCTGAACCTCAGTTCCCACACTTATAAATAGGGACAATCTTCACCTCACAGGATTCTTTCATGGCTTCCATTAGCCATTTGTTCATTCAACAAATACTTATTGAGTCCCTACGATGTGCCAGGTAGTCTCTAAGAATAGGGGATACAGCAGCAAGTCTGACGGACATGATGTCCGACTTCATGCAGGTTACCCTCCAGTGCAGAAGACAGATGCAAAATGAGCTAACAGACAAATTAGGTAATTTCAGATGGGTAATGGGTAATGAGTGACGGACGAGGTGAGTGGGAAGGGGTCCCCCTTGGCTAAGATTATGAGGGAGGGCCTCTCGAGGCCTGAGTGGGAAGGAGCTGGCCATGGGAAGGGTAGTCCAGAAAGAGGGCAGAGTGAGTGAGTGTAAAGGCTTTGAGGCAGGAGCAAGATTCCTTGCCCCACCCCAAGTCTGGAACATTCCAGATGCTCTCCTGGCAGCAGGTGGAAGACAGCTGAGCAGCCAGGGGCGTTGGAGGCCTACCTTCTCTCAGATCAAGAACTGCTGCTCACAGGGCAGGTCTGCGGGAGGGGGTGGGCATTGTGGGCAGGCATGCAAGACCAGGCTTGGGTTGGGCCCCAAGTGAGCAGAACGTCCTCTGAGCTGGCAGGGGTGAAGCCCTGGACCCACCTGGCTGCCCTCCTGCCCAGAAGTATTCTGGGGTCTGGCACAGAGAGCCTGGGCCTGGCTATTTGGGGAGAGGCTTGCAGCAGGGGGGCAAGGGAACTTATGCTTATTTCCTCTCTCACCCCAGCCAGCCTGGGTCTGGGTGCCTTGGCCAGGTCTGGCCCACCCACGGGGCCAGAGGTTCTTTGAGATGACCCCCTCATATGCACATGCACGTGCACACACACACACACACACACACAGTTTCCATACTTATACTCATGGACTTGACTCTTGTCCAGACAGCTTCGTCATGACCTAGAGTTATATGCATACACGGTCACTCCTGGTGCAGAGCATCATTGAATATCGACTGTGTGCTAGGCCTCCAGACAGATCTGGTCCTCACCTGAGGAAGCTCCATTTCTAGAAGGAGAGATTGGCCAGTGATCTAGGTCACAGTGGGACATGTGCAATGCAAACCGGTCAGTCCATGAGGGCCGAGGACAGGCTTCTGGAGAAGCCGGTCAGGGGGTGGGGGGCGGCCTGACCCAGTGTGAGGCGGGGGTCCCAGAAAGCCTGGAAAAGAGGGTAGCACATGCGGTGAGATGGGGGAAGACGGGAGCGTGTAACAGGTGGAGGGGGTGGTGTGTGCAGAGGCCCAGAGGTGGGCCAGACACGCAGAGGCCCGCAGGCCGTGAGGAGCCGCGGAGGGCTTTTAGGCAGGTGGATGATGGGACAGATACAAATGCGCTCAGATGCGAACCTCCACTTGGCCCAGACACGAACGCTTTCTCTGCCGCCCACCTTTCGCGTTCCTGCCAGGCCTCCATCGACATCCTCCCCCACAGAGATACACACCCTTTCGCACCACCAGGCAGAGCTGCAGAAAACCCTGAGCTAGCTTCTAGCAAAAGCGTCAGACGTTTGCCCTGCTGGCTTGCTGAGTGTGTGCGGCAGGGCCTCTGAGCCACCCGGGATGGACCTTTGTCCATTCCACATCTGCACGGCCGTGTGCCTGCCCCCTGCACACACAGCAGGAGTGTCACCCTCCCCTGCACGTGGAAGGTGGCTTCTGGCTTAGGGAGTACTTCTGCATGTATCCTCTTGTTGAATTCTCCCAGCAACCCTGCAGGAAACAATCATCAACACCATTTTACAGCGGGGGAAACAGGCTCCAGAGAGGTCAAGTGACTTGCCCCAGGCCACACAGCTAGAGTTTGACATTGTCGGAAT